GAATGTGTTATGTGTCGACTGAACAGAAAGGAAAAACTGAAGCGATGCGGAGAAAGTGAAAAAAAAAGTGGAATAGCGGAAAAAAAATGACTTAAGTTAGCGCCAAAGATTTCCTCAGACGAGAAATAAATCTTTTGTTTCGTGAGCATGATTTAGCAAAAATAAATAATTCAGATGGAAGAAAAGACAGCACGTCTATTTTTTAACCACACAAATCAATATTTCTGTTAATAATATTAATAATAATAGTAATAGCAATAATAACAGTAATAGCAATAATAATAATAATAATAATAACTGGTCTCTGTCAAGGTTAACAAGAAGTGTGATTATCTATTTGCCGTTGCTGCAGCTTATGTGGCAAAAGGACTAAGAGTGATTTTTGATCACTCACTCAGTCACTCACTCACTAACTCTCTCAGTCACTCACTCACTGCCTCTCCCAGTTACTCACTCACTGACTCTCTCAGTCGCTCACTCACTGACTCTCTCAATCACTTACTCTCTCACTCATTGTGATACTTATCAAGATATATATCAGTGGGACAGTTCGCAGGGATGAGGTGATTCATGCCTTTCCCAAAATGATTAGTGAAAAGTAACCTCAAGAAATTCGATGTGGTTTTCCATACTGAGGACCGTAAGACTACTTCGTATTTTCGAATAGCAACAACAACAACAACAACAACAACAACAATAATAATAATAATAATAAGAAGAAGAAGAAGAAGAAGAAGAAGAAGATTTCTTGGTTATTTTTTAATGTTCTTTTTTTATTTATTGATTTATTAGTAATTTATAAATAATTTTTATTTTATAAGCTATGCACTACAAACACTTATAATGAATTATTCTTTAAATATTATTAGTAACAATATATTAATTGTACTTATGAGTAAAACATATTCGTGTAATAACAGGATTAGGGAGATTTGAATATAGTTTCATATTATTGAACATAAGAGAGAAAAAGACAAAGAAAATTCCGTTGAAGACTGAAATGTCGGAATCTGGTGACGCACGTCGTGTCCCATTGAGATCTAAACTCTTATAAACAAAGATTTTAACGCTCTTGTTCATAATAGCAATAGTAAAAAAATAAAAAAAAAATAGCAGGAGGTGGTCTGGCCCTTTGAACGTGATGACCCACCATGGTATGGATATGACGGAACCAGCCTCCACGTATGGGTAAATACAAACTAACTATAATGCTGACACAACCAAAAATATTGATAAACTGCATCGGTCGTAACGCGGGTCACAAGGACCGCAGTCCCCAGTGAGGAACTAGACTGGGATCGAAAAGTCTGCAACTGGAACAAACTTTACCCAACGAGAACTAGAGGAAAACCATGCCGAGAACAGCCCCCAAAGAGGCCATCTATATTCATTAAAAGAAAATCCCACAAAACAACAATAAATAAATGGTCTAAGGAAGAGTATATTGAAGTAATGATAGTCTTTTACACTGCTACGATACATCCGGCAACGACAACAATGAACAACGTCGGATATATTATCTGGCGAGAAAAAAAAATCCCCCAGACTAAACATTGTTGCCAACAAAATAGCCTATGTCAGGCGTGACATGATCAAGAAAAAAGGAATTCGAAAGCACCCAAGAAAACATCAAAAATAAATTAAACGTTAACATTGAGGGGCTAAATGCCAACAACCCAGAGGAGACACATGCAGAGGAACAAATATAAATCAGTTTTAATAATCCCTCTGAAGTACACAAGCAAATAGGGGAAGATAATGACGAATATGATACAGAAATAGAGATGACAAAAACATCCGATATATATGGGAGAATGTAAAGGAAATATCTTTGAGGAAAGACCAACAATTCCAAAAGTAAGAAAGAACCGTCAACCTCGCTAACTAAACAATTAGAAAAATAAAGGACGAAACGAAAAGACCGATTAACCTGATAGAAATAATTCATCTTATATACGCAGTCTCGGCAAGAATCGCAGAAACAATAGGTAAAAAATTCCAATCTGGAAAGAAAGAATAGTAACCGAAATAAATAAACTACGAGACCAATTGTCACTTCTAAGCGGACAAGAGCTCAAAAATAAAAAAAGGAGACAGCTGAAACGAAGCCTTGTTATAAAGAATAAGACTTGCGTATCAAAAGTTAAATAGAAGCTGAAACAACAAATTCAAGCAAAGGTAGAGAGAATCAGGAGTTATGAAAAAAGAAACAGACTCTTCTGGTAAAACCAGATTTTCAAAGATACCAAGAAACTATATCGAGAACTGGGAAAAATAAAAGTTAAATAACCCACCTAATATCCAGGAAGTTGAGGAGTTCTGGTGAAAGATTCGGGAAAACTTCAAAATGCACAATGAAAAAAAAAATATCTGGTGATACGTTGCTCTTAATAGGCCGAGAAATAAGCAGATTTTGAAATTACAGATTGAATACTGTCAATGATTACTCAGACTTTCCCAAGTTTACACAAAAATATTGTGATTTAAGAACTTTTGCAGTAAAAATAATTTCGGTTTTAAATATGTAATATTTATGAGGATAAAATACGGATATCTTTCTTTAGGGTTTTGTAAATTAAACACTGTTCACTTATTAACGCCAACAACAAACAAATTTTAAATTACAAATTTTGTACTTGGATTAAACGAAAATTACAATATAATACGTATAATAATACATTCTTCCCTGCAGTCAATTCTGAGGGCACGTTTACACTAGTAATAATAATAATAATAACCATTGATTGGTTACTATATTTTTTACACCTCAACGTGATCTTTAAGCCAACATATATATATATATATATATATATATATATATATATATATATATATATATATATATATATATAAAACATTTAAAAATATATATATATATATATATATAAAAAACATTTAAAATGTTATTTTTAGTGGATACTCATAACTGAATAGACGCTCCGTTTATATATAAAAATTCCTTACTTTCTTTATAAAATTAGCTTTGTTTATCTTTATATATATATATATATATATATATATATATATATATATATTCCTGTGTATACATTATATATATATATATATATATAATGTATACACAGGAATATATATATATATGAAGCAGACATTGATGTTAACACTCAGCGGCGACAGACTGTTTCATGATTATACGCGATCACCAGGCCATGTGTGTTGTGTTTTGCCTCGACTATTTATATACACTGGTCAATGGAGCACTATGTGTGTATCTATTGTTTTATTATATTATATTTAATATGCTTTTTCATAAATATAAAAAAATAGCTGGCTAGCTAGCTAGCTAGATAGATAGATAGAAAAATATAGAGATAGATCAGTTTGGATACAGAAATCAACATTGCATGATTACTATCAGTTTACAGACTGTTCATACGTCCGTTCATATCTATCTATCTATCTATCTATCTATCGAGCCCTTTTCATATCCAATTTGCTATCTATCGATGCATGTTTATATATATATATATATATATATATATATATATATATATATATATATATATATATATATATATATATGTTTATTCATATTTATTGTTTTATTATAACGATTATTGGGTGGGTGGTAGCGGTTATGTTTCAAATTATTTTAGTGGCCGTTGAGTGGAAATAGTTGTGTTTCCGAATTTTGGGGTTATTTTATATTGTTGTTTTTAAAACATTTTAATCATTATTTACAATTGAAATTTGGTTTTTGCTTTTAATTTCCTATACATGTTTAGAAAGCTGTTCGCGTATTTAGTATTTGTAAAGGTTGTTTTGTGAGCTTAGTTTCTATTTTTCCAGTATCCTTCAGTTACACCTATGTAAGTTTTTCTTCGTTATCTGCTGATTTTACCGTGGTTTGCTATATTACATTATTTTGCAACCATCCGCCATCAATAATCAAGCAGATTCAACAATCAATTAACTACAGGTTATCTGTCAATTCTTCTAGTGTAACCGTCTTCAAGGAAGTCAAGGACGATTATGAAACAGTGGATTTTCGGTAAAACACACATATACACCACACAGTATAAAGAAGCCAACCAGAAAAGGAATCATCATATGATTCAACCCACCGTAACACAAAAACGTAAAAACAAACGTAGGAAAATATTTATTAAACTCATGAATTGTTATAATGGAACACACCTATTTTATAGTTAATAGACTCTCCCATCTATAATAAGTAGGAGTAGTAAGAGTAACAAGTCAGTCGGCAGTGAGTTGGTTAGTCAGTCGATGTCGGACGACCATTAGTCGGATATTAAAGTATCAGCCACCACAACTAGATTACTGCGTCATTACCTATTATACCAAGTTCCTAACGTTTTGTACGTCGAACCTACTTTAGGGCCGACTTAGTACAAATACAAGCTTCCACTGTGAAACCTTCACCACTACATAACATGAACAAACACTTCCTCGCATCAAGCAATGTCCACAAGACATTCAACAAAAACGCAGTATAAATCAGGTACAGTTACACCAAGAACATGACACAAATAACGAAAAAACACAAGAAAACAACCAACAAACCACTCGCACAAATCAAACCCACGTGTAACTGCAGAGCAAAGAACGAATGCTCCTTAAACGACAACTGTTTACAGAACAATGGAATATAGCAAGCCACGGTAAAATCAGTAGATGACGAAGAGAACATATAAATAGGAGTAACTGAAGGACCCTGGAAACAAAAGAAACTCCTTACACAAAACGTTCTTTGCTAATTAATAAATACACAGACAACACAATGTTTTCTAAACAAATATTAGAAATTAAAAAATAAACCCCAAATCACACCAAAAATCTCATGGAAAATAAGGAAAACCGCATCAGTCTACAACAACAAATCCCAAAACTGTAAACTCTGTGTGGAGGGGAAATGGCTATAATTGCAATCCAAGACCAATAAATAATCAGAAAACATCTCTAAATGCAGACACGAAAACACATTTTACTTCGTTATTTAAAAATCGGAAACTAAAACCGTA